GATGACGATATTTCCACCTAACTAAACGATATGCCCTGCTAAAGCTCCCCTCCACAGACCTTTTTTCAATACGAACATGTGAATGTAGCATGATGGATTGTGGCGACAATGTAATGACGTCTCTCTGGTGCTGCGTTTGTGAGGTCATTTGATCTCTTCCGTCATTGCACCTTATAGCAATCTGTTTATTGCAGAAACTCATATCGCGAAAACGATAAAAAAAGACTGTCTATATTCCACAGAATGTCCATATTCCACTTTTGTGTAAATAGATCCTCCAGTCACATTTGTGTATTCAGTGTATTTTGCAAGCATAATACTGTATCAAGTGAATCAAAGTAAACCGTTTATTTGTATTCAGCTTATTTATTGGGAAGTGTACACCGCTATTGCTAACTTATGCAGCACTATCTAAGACCCCACGAGCCCCCGAGGAGACTACCTGAATTCATGGAGGTTTTGCGCGGTTGTTTGGGGGCCGTGTACTGGAACGACTCGTTGCCCTGGCTGGTAGCCTGATCCAAACCAAACAGAGACGCCAGCTTTGCCCTGTAATCAGAGAATGAATGTGAGAGAGAGAGAGAGAGAGAGAGAGAGAGAGAGAGAGAGAGAGAGAGAGAGAGAGAGAGAGATGAAATTCCTTAGCTAGTAAAGCTTAAACAATGTATTGTTCTGTTGGTAAGAAGCACAAAGACAGTCTACAAAGAAAAGATATAATCTATACCCATACTGGTATCACAACAACACTGATTTTAAATTTTTGCAGTGTTTTTACATAACATCATAATTCACTGCAGCATATATCATTCTTTAGGTTCTTTATACTATTTTGAAAGAACATTAAAACAAGTTTCCTTTCTGGAAATGTGCTTTATGTCTGCTTAACATTAACAATACAGTGTAAGATTTCCTGTAGTGTAATTGTAAAAAGAAAAAAAACAGAGCAACAATAAACAAATCAGACCAACCTACTGTTCTACGCATATTCAGAGACCACCCTTCCATTTATTTAGTTTCCAGTCAAAACAAATATTAAGCACAAGTTATTCATTTTTCAGTATCATAAAAAAAATCAGAAAATATATCAGCACTGTCCAAAAAAAAGTAACTATTTATATCATATATTATTATACTATATATATTCTATCTATTGATCTTTCTATCTATCTATATTGCTCTAAATATAGAGAGAGAGAGCAAAGCAGCTGCCATTTTTTACAGTGTGAAATGCTCCAAAACTGCTTGGAATAAAATATCTTTACATTAACTTACATTTCAAGTAAAGTACGTTTTTGTCTTCTCCTGTAAAGTTGCCCTTTTGGCTAATACCTTTTTTTGGACGCTGACAAAAATATTCAACTGAAAATGACACAGAAGTCTTAGTATCTAAATAAAACAATCTATAATGATCTATAATAAATTTATTATTATTTAGTGTCCACATTATGCCTTTATATCAGCTTCCATTCTCTTCAGGACTTGCTTTGGGGTTTTCAAAGAAATCTGCAGGGATATTTTTCCGCACCTCCACAGTTCAGTCTTAGAAGTTGGTTGCCTTTTCTGCGTCTCACAATCTAATGATCTCAAACACATTCAGTGATGTTGAGGTCAACTTTTTTCTTTACTTTTCTCAGTGAGGCCTTCTTGACAGCTATACATCTTTCCAGACCAATAGCGTGGAGTTGTCTTCTCACAGTGGATGGATGGATGGAAACTCTAATCACCAAAACCTCAGAAGCAGGAGTAGACCCCTGAACTTACTTAATGGCCATTTTGACTGGAAATAAAATGATTGATGGGTGGTCTCTTTTAAATCATAATAAAAAACACCTGCAAGGTGAAACAGAGCCATGAATACTGAATGATCAGACATTAAAGAGCAGTAAGCCTACACAAATACGGCAAGGGAGGCTGGGGTTTGGAGAACTTCAACAGATAAGCATTCGTGGAATTAGCCTCAGCAATACAACAAGTAACAAGTAGGTCTCTGGAACAAAGCTGGTCAGCATGGTCTGAGTCAGATGCCTTAAGGAAATATAAATTCCTCCAGTCTGCTGCTCTGTTATAGCCTCAAGGGGAACTTTTGCGTTCATGTCTCCGCGCATACACTGGCTTCGTCTCCATATCTTTAAGAGTTACGAGCACGAAGAAAACGTGCACCTGTCCGACAACATCTAGACAGCAGAAGAACAACTTTATAACTGTTATAGATATAAAGGACTGTAAGAACAATATTTCTTATGTTATACAAAGCAACAGAAGGAAAAAAATTCGAACAATTGGTAAAAATAAATGAGTAAAATCAGACGACAGCCATTCAGCTACTTGTTACTAAGCGGTTTCTACACAGTTTGTCATTTACAGCCTTTCTATAATCTCTCTTTATGACACATTCAGTTCTTCTGTGTTACAGACGTACTGAAAATATACTCAGAAAGGCATACTGAGGCACAATTCACAATAACAGTACCGTATGGTTATATTGACCAATTATATCGTTATATTGGCACACAAGCCACTGACCCGTGTATCTCTCTCCACACGTAGTCAGTATCTCTCAAAGCTGCCATGCTATTGCTGCCTTTCGAGCTATATTCTGGAGCACTCAGAGGCCAAATCTTCTACGAAAGAGGCCAGCTAGGCCTTGTTTGGACGTTTGAGACAAAATTATTCCCCGCTGTCCTTCCAGCAGATCCCGGTCCAGTCTAGCCAGAATAGTCCAAAGGTCCAGCACTCGTCTAATCCCGGCCTATTGGAGACCCGTGGCAATGCTCCCTGTCCATTTCCTTGAACTGAATGAGTCTAAACGCAGTCCACTTTGGCCCGGCACATGCAACCGTGAGCATGTGAATGGAATTAACACACTACCCAATCCCTTCCATCAGCTTTTGCTTCCCAGCCCACACACAGCAGAGAATCAGCTGAACTACAAATCATATTAAACTTTTTTTTTCCCTCCTTAACGCCATGAGGCCCAAAACAGGACATGACAGACAGCCGTCTAAGTTTTCCTGAAAAACTATGCTATTAAATGTCATTAGATAGCCTGACCTAGAATATATAATAGCCAGTTTCGTCTCAAAAGGACAGCTGACCCTACTTCGGTCATAACATCCAGTAAATAAAATTACAGGGCCAATTTCCAGTAGACGAAATGATTCTGCGGTCAATAAACAAGCAGTTATGTAATGTTTACCACCAAATGCAGGTGTATTAATAGACATCTACTGCAATAAGCTTGAACCATTTTCTCTACAAGGCAACGCTGTGGTCTGCAGGCATTTGGAAAGAGCTGCTAAAGGCCTGAAATCACATGATGGGGGCAGCAAAGGAAGAGCAAGTCATGTGCGGATGAACATAAACATTAAGGTGTTAAAACAGCAGAGATGGAGGGACAGAAAGGGAAAATGGAGCCAGGCTTTATCAAATCTACCTGCATATAAAAATACATGAGGGTACAAACAGTGCAGTGTTGCACTAACTGGATAGAAGCTTTGTAGCGTGCATTAACTTCAATGTTGCGGCCTGCAAGTCAGCACATGAGGTTCATTTCTACTGATTAACTTTCTCAGCACACCAAACTGCATGTGTTCTTGTTGAGCCACTCAAAGAGTCAGCAAGCTGTGAAGCATCTGCCCCATCTGAGTTAATGACATTAAAAGGGGAAGTCCACCATTTTTTCAAAATTTCTGATAAACAGAGTCATTCAGAGCGGTCTGATGTGAAGTGATTCATTGCAGAAAAACTTATGACACTAATTTCTTTACAGTGATTGGAACCAGGGGTGGTCATGTTTACTATGCATACATAGCCATTTTATTTCCTATTCGAAACCACCAGTGAACCTACATTCTAAGTTGAATATGTAATAATGTTGCTAAAAAATGCTGGAAAATCTGCAATAATAAGTTTTATTTAAGATCTATTTGGCCATACACCACTCTGTATGTATCCCTGCAAAATGAACGTATTAAAAAAAACGTTTTAAGCCAAAACATTATCACAAAACTATCGTAAAAACAATGCCTCAGACAGCACATATCTGACCGTTTCATGCAATAACCTTCTGTGAGGTGGACGTCTGGTTCCCATCACCTCCACTGTGAACAATTCTGACTCTAAGTTTCTCTAGAAGTGAGCATGTCACACCAAACCACTTTGAGTGACTTTGTTTACATCTCAACCATCTAATTATGTAGAATTTTTGAAAAATCGTTCCCCTTTAACGTCAAACTTCTCGGAGCTGATTCACTGACTCAAGCTACCTTCTGCACTTTAAAACCGGTCCCAGCTCTTAAAATATCATAAACCGTGTAAACTGTACCAAAGCCTTGACAGTTATGTGAGCACGAGTGTTATAAGGTTAGCTACTAGTTTGTGGCTATCATTTTTTATTTTTCGAAACAGTTTGCAACGAGGCTGAACTTGGCTTTTCAATCGAATTTTCCGTTCCACCTTAAACAGTTCAATGGAGCGGCGGTTACATTTTGGTGCCGCAGGCGCTCCAGAACGTAACTGCTGCCCCATTTAAGGTGGAACGGAACATTTGTATGAGAAGAAGCTGGCGAACAAGCAGCAGCCAACCTCAGCTTCGTCAAACTGCAAGACCTGTTCATCCTTATAGTGGCCGGTTAGAAAGGTGGACATTCTGAACAGTTACTGAAAATAAATAAGACCTCCAAGTGAGCTAGAATTTAGCGTTAGCTTTAGCAAGCTAACGTTAACCTAGCTAGTCGCGCTTTCTCTCTCCTGAGGCAGCGGGATCTCACTCACCCCCCTGTAGGAGACAAGAAATCTCCGTCTTCATCGTCAGCGAACATATCTCAGGCCTCGGATAAGAGGTTAAAGAGACGTGTAGTTTCTCTGCTGATGATTAAATGCTGGATTAAACTCCGGTTACATTTGATACGGAATTATCGCCTCCTCATTCCGAGCTAAACTAACTTCCCTTTCGCTTCCCGTTTCTGCGGCTTGTGTCAGCTGACTTCCCACCTGATGCCAACAACGTCAAGCGTGTGGGTCTCTCTCTGCATCTCCCTGTCTCTGTTTTTCGCATCTGAATTTTGAGTTTAAGTGTCTATACGTTTATCCGCTTCGTTTGTTTGATATTATTCTGTGCTAAAACAGTGTTTAGCTCAGATTAAACTGGTGTAGGTTAAGTAAGTAGTGAGCTAACGCGTTAGCTGGCGATAACGGATGTGTTAGGTTGCTAAGCAACGAAGTTTCGCTAAACATAGTTAGCATTAGCTTAGTCTAAGCTATCTTGTATTTTAGGCATATTTTAGTAGACCGTAGTTATCGGCATCGTTCTAACTGCCGTTTCTACTGTCAGTGAAGGGAAACTACATAATTTTACATTAATTTAATGGTTAATATTTAAACCAAGTCATTCAGAGTGGTTTGGTGCGAAATCCGTTCTAGAGAAACTTAAGAGTCAGAGTTGTTCACAGTGGTGGTGATAGGAACCAGACGTCCACCTCTAAAAGCTCCCTCGCAGAAAGTTATGAAATGAAATGATTAACGTTAGATATATCCTGCTTGATGTCTGACATGTCTGAATGATTGCATCAGTTTAGCTTGTAACATGAACACGTTCTGAGTTACCAAAGGGATGCACCGATATGGGAATCGGTGGGACGATGGCGATTCCGGTAATGTTAACTGATACCAATGCCGATATATAAAAGCTGAACAGGTATAACGTAGAAATGAAGATTCATCTGCATTAGCATTGCAGAGAAACATAACACTTTTTCCATAGGATTACATATGCAGTAAAATGCAGACATTTTAGCACAGCAGCCCAGTGTTACCTAAACAGTCTCCTCTTCCGGATGGTACAAAAAATAGTGATCAAACATTGGTTTGAAATCTTGATCAAATCTAAATCGAATGTATCTGTTCCCATATAGTTAATGATAACTTTTAAGCAATCATTTGCTGCTACTGAAAATGATAGTGACATCATGCATTCCTAGTACTAGGGTCACGTTGGTTAGAGTTACAAGCGTCCAACTTATGTAGTTATAAGCTCAAGTTTCAGTGTATGCACTTATGAAAGTGATGGCACATGGTGTCCACTCACTGTCCACTCTATTAGATGCACCTGCGTTGTTGTTCCACCCTGTGGATGTAAAGCCAGAGATGATAGCTCATCTGCCGCTGCGCAGTTTGTGTTGGTCATCCTCTAGTCCTTCATCAGTGGTCACAGGACGCTTCCCACAGGATGCCGTTGGCTGGATATTTTTGGTTGGTGGACTATTCTCAGTCCAGCAGTGACACTGAGGGGTTTAAAAACTTCAGCAGCACTGCTGTGTCTGATCTACTCGCATCAGCGCAACGCACACTAACACACCACCACCACGTCAGTGTTACTGCAGTGCTGAGAATGATCCACCACCCAAATAGTACCTGCTCTGGGAGGGTCCATGGGGGTCCTGACCATTGAAGAACAGGTGAAAAGGGGGCTAACAAAGTATACAGAGAAACAGATGGACTGCAGTCTGTAATTGTAGAACTACAAAGTGCACCTATATAGTAAGTGGAGCTGATAAATGAACAATGAGTGTAGAAACAAGGAGGTGGTCATAATGTTATGCATGATCAGTGTACATAATGACTTCAAATGGCCTAATTTGTATTGCTCCGTCACTCTTGCTGTTTCAGGAAAGGATATATTTGAGCACCGTGGCTCTGTGGTCAACCCTGCCCACCATGAGGAGCCTAGGTGATGAGGGCCTGGATGAAGCGCACTGTTTGTGGGCCCTGTGTCCTCATCCCTGCTGCTGGGAGACGGAGCACCGTATTGCAAAAGGCATCTATCGCAGGGCAGCCAGAAAACCCACCAAGCGCTACACTCCTGTCCAGGGTGGGTTCACAATGACAAGGGTGCACTCAAGCTTTTATCTTAAAATATTCAAAGATTGGAGGCAAAATGAATTACATTGGCACTCTCCTTCAAAATGCTAAGCTTTCTTTGATGAAGGCCTATGTTGTGTTCTATTTATAGCCATGACATAGTAAAGTTTGTGTCATAGAAGTCTGTTTTTGAGCTCCTGTTCATAGAGCACCTTCTTTAGACACTTGATAACCTCTTTGATGGCATCCTCTGCTCTAAATACATAACATAGATATGGGTTACATACAGTATAATAATGTGCTGGGAGGCATAATAATCTGGCTTTGAGGCAAAGTGTGCTTGCGATGAGCCTAATTCATCACACAAATGGCAAACTTCAATCCAGACTGAGATTCTTTCCAGAGAGCTCCTAGTGGCCACTGGCCATGAATGAAAATCAATTTGGATACATTTAATTAATGTAATAATATGAAATGTTTTCCATGTGACTCTTATCTGATTAACTAGGACACTGTTGCCTCCCTGTGTGTATATTGAGCTGCTAATGAGCAATGAGGGGTGAAATAGGAGAATCATACACATTTCCATCAAAGTATATTCCATCAGCATTATTGATGAAAAAATCCATAATACATCTCTGAGGGGCCCTCGGAGAGAATGAGAATGACCCATACTGGTCAGGTGGAAATTGCATTTTATGGCAGCTATGAAAAAGAGTTGAATAAGAAGCCGAGCTGCTGCTAAATTAGGGTCAGATTTAAGCATTTAGATTGTACCTTCTGTAAGGTCTTAATGTCAAAAATTCACTGTATGCACTTTTTTTTCTTTCTATCAATGCAGAGAGTTTGCCATCTCAGAGCGTGGTCAGCGTCTCTGAGTGGGCTGACAGACGAAGGCATTCTGAAGGGAAGCCACAGTTCAAGATGGTCAGTTCAGACAGCTCAGAGTCTGAGGGATCTCTGCACAGTGTTCCCTGCCTACCAGTGCTCCCACAGAAGGAGAACACACAGTGAGTGATGCACAGCGTATAAGATGATCACTTGCCACATTTCACATAGACGGCGTGAGTAACCCAGTCTTACTTAATATATAATTAGCAATGCATTCGGAAACTTTGTCGTTGTCACCTTTCACTCAGCAAGATTTGCCGCCAGAGTAGTTTTAGAGTGTGCATGTTGGTCATACTGAAACTGATCAGCATGGGTCACTCTCACACAAAACATGTCCACATCAGTAGATCATTTGTAGCTATATATAATACATATTTCATTGATTCATCATATTAAAGCCTGTTATTGCACATTTACACTGTCTGTGTTGCACTATTGCTACTATTTGCACTTTTGGTAGATGCTCTATCTATCTATCTATCTATCTATATGATACAGTAAAAAGTTTGTGGAGTGTAAGTAATTTTTTTGGCATTTTTTACCCTTAATTTTACCCCAGTTACTACACATATCTGTTTCTCATTACCAATATTTATCATTTATTTGCTTTTTAACTAGAAATATTATGACATCTCTTTACTTTAATGTTTTCCTCATAAACTGAACTGTAAGGATGAACCAAAACAACAAAATGTAACATTACACTAGCAAAAAACAGCAACGACAAAAACCAATGGCTGTCAGCATTTTGTGGGAATGAGACAAAATTGCAAAACACCATATTTTGAAAAAAAAATTAATCAAGGCATCCAACAACAATATACAGAATGTAAAAAGAAAATGTGTGAAAAAAAACATTCTTTATAGACATATTTTTCAACCTTACTGTGTTGCTGTGATGACAGTTTGGTCACTTAAATTGGAAAATGTGACTAAAAATAAATATAGTCACTCAGGTTTATTAGGAATAACACATGGAATTGGAGCCTTCTGTGTGAAGTGTGAAACATATTTCTATGCAGTTTTTGCTGGCAAGTTAACTTTAGGCTAACTTAAGCACAATCCTTAGCAAGCCTGATTATTTTCATTTTGCTATACTGTTTTAATGTATAGTACATGTAAATACATGTTAACCACATTGCGAGTGACATATTGAGTTGTATTTACATTCTGTTTACATCCTGAGCTTCTGACCCTTCCCACTGGTTTAGATGTAAACAATGACAAAAACAAAACTATCTGCGAAGACTGTGGGCACAAAGTTTGAATCCTCTACTAACGAATACAAATGTAGTATGAATTGGAAGTCCAGGATCCTCCGTTTCAACAGAATTTGTTCACTTGGTTTAGTGAGTTACAAGCAGTAAGAATTCTAAAATGTCAAGTGCAGCGTCTAAGGTTTAGGCGGTATGGTCACTACTTTGGTTCACTATTCACTTGCTCTGTCCCTCCATGCAGTTCAGATCCAGCAGTCAGCTCAGCATCTCCAACATCACAGTCTAATGGCATGAAAGGAAAAGGAGTGAAAGTAAGTCACACTCACCTGACCGTTACTATGTTAACCCATCACCTGTTGAGCTTTAATTACTTTCCAGAGGTAATGACTAATGGACAAGAGCATTAAGACACCAACTGCTTTATGGTGTCAGAAAATGTCTTTTTATGGTCAAACATTGCTTGTATTTATCTTTTTTGGACAGTTAAACACAGTTCAGATCAGCCCTCCGATTGGCTCAGAGTCACCGTGGGGATCAGGCTCTCTGGTCTTGTGGGTCCCAAACCCAAACTACGTGCCTCATCATCTGTCACAGAAAAGGTATCCAGCCAAAAAGATCTGCTTTACTATATAGGTTGTCTCATATAGTCCCACAGTGCAGTAAATATCAGTCACTTTATTCAGTTTAAAGAAGGATGTGTTTATACTGGAAAGCGGTAGTTAAAGGGCCCATATCCTTATAATGCCACTTCTAATGTTTGTGTGGTTATCTAGGGGAGAGCTGGGCACAACCTAACACATTTTGGTTTTTGTGAAATAATTTTAAAAATATTGAAGTTGGAATAATCGTGTTTTTATACAAACAACATATACATCTCTGCTACAAACAAACCTTGAACTTTGTTTCTAGCACCTACCGTTTATGTACAGTTCCACCCAAAATGACGGGAAGTTACAGTGTTACAGTTTAGCGTAACAGACAGAGGGTTAGTTTAACACTTGATAGAAAAGTTTGATCAATCAGTGCAAACAAAGTTAATTCAATAAAAGTCTCTGTTGTAATAAACTAAAATATTTTCCAATCAACATAATTTCCAATATATCTGTCTATAAGACCAACAGACAGATCAACTGATACACACACATCAAATTATATACAGAAACTCACACGAGACTGTGTGTCAAAAATTGACAGATTTGTTTTTTGTTCAGTGAAAAAACACAAAACATCAGTTATATATGAACAATGTCTCTGAATAATAACTGCAGCTTTACCAGCTGTTAATGGTAATTTCATTAATTTACTTATGTAACACCTAAAATACTAACATCTGAAAGATACTAATAAAGTCAAAGAAGATCCCTGTTTCCAGATGTTTTCTCTTTTGCGTCTTAAAATCTGTGTAAACATATGGAACAAAAAGACTGAATTTACTTTATTTGTCTTTGTTTACTAGAGATGTCTTAGTTGTGACGCCGTTTACAGCTAACAGCTAACCCCGCAGTAGGGAGGCTGTACCTAAGCCTAGCTAGGACTTGCTGTGAGCTTGTCAGCTGCTTCAAAACATGTTATAGGCAACAAGATGGTGATTAAAGTAATATGCGGTTGGATTTTGTGATTTACACAAACGGCCCAGTAACCAAAAAAAATGGTATTGAAAAAAATGTCTTACATGCCCTGAAAACACTCTTTGGTGCAGATCTGTTCAAAACGCTGACGAATCACTCTGAATTTTGGTGGGAGACTGTGGCTAGGAAAAGTGGTGATGTGGCCAGAAGCACATGCTGCTTGACCTTGTATAACAATGTAAAAAGTCTGTGTTAAATTGTGCCCCACGTTGTTCTTCACGCTCCCCTATATCAAAAACATTCATTTTTACATGACCATTTTACCATCTTCCATCCTCTCTTTAATCCTCAGAATGAAACATGCTGTTTTTGTTACTGTGCTTTTAAGACTGATACATGTAAACAGTCTCTGTTCTGATTGGCTGCTTCACTGTGCTTCATTCAGAAAGCAGTCCAGGCTGAAACACTCCTTATAACTTCAGTGTGAATGGGCTGTAGGCTGAATATGCGGACATATGTAGATGGCCTGTTTTCTGTGACATCACAAAAAGAGCGAATTCAAAACAGGCTGTTTTAACAGCTTAGCTTTCATATATGGAATGAAATTGAGAGTCACCAGCACCTTTTTAAACTTTAAATGAGGAAAATTTGTTTTTCTATGAAATGGGCCCTCTAAAAAGCAATTACTAGTGAGTACGTTACATGTGATTCTGTAATGGACCTATCTGTGCTCCAGTTTTGTAGAAAGTGTTGGACAAGCTTTACAGAACCCTGACAGAAATTCCATTCAACCTAATGAGAAACTGTAGCACTGCTCAGGTTTTGTCAAAGTACCTACATTTAGAGTGTGTTATTAGTTTCAAATGATGTTTATCCTGTATGCGTGTGAAAGATCACACTGTTAGGATAGATTTTTATTTAAGCAATGGAACACGAGAGGGAGTGTGTTATTGTGAAATAACATCATGGCTGTGATTTGGTCGCGATAACACACAACCTCGAGTGTTCTGTTGCTTTTATACAACAGTTAAATAAATAAAGTAAGAAATTAATAAACTGGGCCGTTTAATATGTTTTAATGTTCGCAGTTCCTTCACCAAATTATAGTTCCTTAACAAGCAGCTTGTTGCTACGTCAGAGTAATGAACTCTGCTCACTCACTGCACAGTCTGCTGTAAAAGCATTTTTTAAAGCATTTTACAGCCCGTTTAGTTTGGCGAACGGTATTCGGTTCATTTCTGGCTGATTCCAGGTTGTTTAGCTGTTCTTCTGTCACAGCTGCCGACTGAAAAGCTGCTCAGTGGTGATGACAGTTTGGGAATTTAGTGTCGTCTCATCTTCAGAGTCTGACCAAATCGGCTGTCGGTCAAATGTGATCTTAAAAGTGTCCATTTTCTGTTTGTGGCAAAAGTAAGAAGTAAAAACGTTCAAATGGCTTGAGCGTCTCCTACAGCTGTCAAAGTTGTTGCTTAGCAATGGCATCTCAACGGAGTGAAAACGGCGAAATAACAGCACGATTAGAACGCTTCTCAACCAATCAGCTTGCATGGAGTGAACTAACTGTTGTATAATGTGTAAAGAAGCTAACAGTGGCAAATTGATGACATTTCCAGCCCAACTAGTTATGATTATTAACAGCATCATTAGTTTTGCATTTCAATCTGGAACAGACTCTAAACAAAGACTGCTAAGATTTCTCATTTGCTTTGAAAGGGATTTTTGTCAGCGTTCTGTAAAACCTGCTGCTATGAAAAAACACCTTTGTGCTCGGAGCATGGGTAGGTCATTTCTAAAACCTAGCAGATAAACTGCACAGTGGATTCAGTGGTGTTGAATGATCATTTACTGCACTCTCCTTTCTGCATCGCTAGGTCAAAGTCCCCAAAATATACAGTGGAGGAGTTAATCTGCCTTCCAGCCTGTCCAGTACAGAAGACTTCTAAAGTGGTAAGTAAAGGGGGAATCACTAAAGAAGTGACTGTTTTCTAGGAATGTCCTGATCTGGTCTGAAAAACTGATATCTGAGCCAATAAAGGCATATTTTAATAGATCAGCATCGACCATATTAAGCCTGCACCACATCTGATTATTTTTTAAGGCTGTGCTCTATGTGTTGACCAAAGCAGCCATTGTACAAATGTACAGCATTGAGGCACATTTTGGAAATTAACAAGAGGTTCAAATGGTATGTCCTTGTTGTGGTTTTACCCACTGAGCTGGTTTTGGATTGGTAATGGCTGTTACAGGACTCCGGTCAGAGAGCACAAAGTCACCAGATGGGTTCAACTTGTTTACTGTGTAGAATGGACTGTAATATATTAAGTGGTTGCCACTGAACATTTACTTGTATGTACGCATATACGTAATAGCAGTTTATCGTCTATGACTGCTATACAGACTACCACAGAAATGCAAAGGCTGCCACCGCATCACGTATGATACACGCCAGAATAAAAGTCCCCTCTTTGGTCAATATGTGCGACTCGCCTTATCAGCATAGGCACGAAGGTGTAAACAATGCCCATAACTGATAGTAAGAATTCAAACAATGTCTGAAATATGAAGAATTCACAGCAGTCTTTTATATGAAAATTTGTGTTTTTGCTGCCTACCTATCCCAGTCTGGGAGCAGCACAGCATCGCCAACAGGGCAGTGCCACCTGGGGCAGTGGGGGTTAAGTGCCGGCACAACCAAGAACATCCAGTCAGCCTGATTGAGCCGGTTGCTGACTCACCTTTCCTACCTCTAGGCTACCGGCCACCTGATGCAAAACAGCACAAGTGTTTTGACTGTGGTTACACATAAAATGTACTTCAGTTGTGATTGTGCATCTATTACACACTTAGTTGTAAGAGTAACAGTGCATTCATAGTCAAGGCTGCATCCCAAATTGCTTTCTGCCATACTATGTATGGTAGTGCTAGTATGGTGGTATGTGGTTTTGGGTGCATCCCAAGAAATAGAAGCCCTTCATGCATATTAGAAATACTTAGAGGGCAATTCCATCAATTTTTCATAATTTTTGCATAATTCTGTGTTTGTAAAGTAAACAAAGTCATTCAGAGCGGTTTGATGTGAAATGCTTCAACCACCACATAACTGTGAGTTTTTGTATGTAATGTTGATGATAATAAATAGAGGTAATTCTGAAAAAATGTGTTTTCTTTGGGGACTATTTTGCCTTGGAATGCCCTCCATGTACCTCCACACCATTACTGGCTTTTGACAATAAATACGTTTCAGGCCAAAATCTTATTTCAAATCTATCGTACAACAATGTCTCAGTCATCAGGCCGCATATTCATAACCATTTAATGGAATACTTTTTGTGAGGGAGCTTTTAGAGGGATTTAACTCTTCAGATGTCTGGTTCCCATCACCACCACTGTGAACAATTCTGACTTGGTAGGTTTCTGTAGAACAAAGCATTTCACACCAAACCACTCTGAATGATCTTGTTTGCATTGAACAATTATGCAAAGATTTTGAGAAGTTTATGGATTTTCCCTTTATTATAGGAAAACTATATGTATATATATATATGTATTGGACCAGACTCAGTATCAGCTGATACTCAGTATACCATGTTGTGTTTTCTCTCCTCTAGGAAGAGAAGCCTAAAAGTGTAAAGAAGAAGGTGCGATTCCACCTAGCCTGTTCACCCTTGACCTCTCACTCCAGGAGAGAAGCAGGGTCATCCTCTCCAGGTCAGCCTGACCCAGCCTTGGACAGCAGCCGCAGTGGTGAAGAACAGACATACGACATCCGGCGGTCAAGTGCAGGACATCCATCAGCAGCAATAGAGAGTAGAGTAGACCCTGAACCTGAAGACACCAGAGAGAGCAGTAGCTTCATGCCTACTATCAGACCTGTATTCTTCCACACGGTCCGAGAAAGAGGGGTCAAGAAAGTGAGCAAAGGTTCCCCGACATCCCTCTACAAAATGGACAGCAAGGTTCGAATGTCATACTCTCTGTTATGAGGAAATAAAGTGTTAAATAATGCAATATTTAATGTACAAAGAATAAAGAGCACAAAAGACATATAACACCCAAAAATGCACATGTACAATAAACTGAATAATAAATAATGGTGCAACAGGAAGCCATATCGCCCCCTACACTTCCTAAAGTGCATTGCAGTTTGTGAGAATGGCCACATAAATCATGGAAACATATTATAGAGCGCCTTTGTTTTTAGATAAACATGTCAAATTCTTTCCCTAATCAATCCCATTAACAACTAATTGGGTTTGATAACCAGTGAAAGTGAGGAAAGGATTAGACTCATTTTTGTGTGAATTGTTTTGGCCCTTATTAATATAAGATGCTTTGATGTGACAGTGATTTGATTTGGTGCTGATTCTCTAGACAGGTGAGGAGAGTGTGGACTGGGACAGTCTGAGGCAGCAGGCATACCTCTGGAAGAGGCATAACCTCCCTCAGCTTAAAGACTGCAGGAGCACAGTATTTCCCCCAGGGGGCGCCAGTGTATCTCAGGAAAACTTTGGATCCTCCCCTGTTTCTACACTAAGACCACATCAACGTTTCCAAAGCCCACTGTCTGTAGGTGAGAGCACGTTATGCTTCTGTTTGCCTGTAAGATACTCTGAGGCTCAGCCTTGAAAAATGTGTATATCAAATTCTTACAGGAGTAACTGATTATAGAGCTCTGAGTTTAGTAACTAAGTCTATGTAAAGGGTAAAGCCACCCACTGATGTTTTCAGCATAATGAAATGGTAAAAGACGTAAACAAAGTCATTCGGAGTGGTTTGATGTGAAATGCACTCTTCTACAGAAACTTACAGAGTAACTATGTGGTGACGGGAACCAGACGTCTGAAGAGTTTAACATGTAGTTATTACACATGACATGGTTATGCATACACTGCCTGATGACACAGTGTTTTTAGGTAGTTTAGAGAAGGTTTTGGTCAAACACACTCACCCATATGTTCATGTATATATATATATATATATATATATGTGCGTTTTTTTTTACTTCTTTTTCATTTTTTACAGAACTTGAAAATGCTAGCTACCCTTTGCAATATGCAAAATGTATTAATTAATTAATACATTTATTTTTTGATATAAATTCATGGCGGAGGAGTACATGCAGGGCGATATAAGGCAAAATAGTCCCCAAAGAAAACTTAATTTTCAGATTTACCACTATCTTACCACCATCAATAACAAATATAAAAACTGGTGGTTTTGGATAGTAAATAAAAATAGCTAACCTGGTTTCTATCAGCACCACCGTAGATTGGTGGTGTGAAGAATCTGAGTGGGTAGGTTACTGTACAGTGTAACTATATTACATTAAAATATTCTGTATGACTTTGTTTACTTATCATGGATTGTGTTATGGAGAAATTTTGAAAAATCATGATTTTTCCGTAAAGGTATTATTTGGCTAAAACTCAAATTTGTGTCAATATGAAATGTAGCCTGTAAACTATTCCTATAAACGGTTAACATGATTTGATTTCTGTGGTGTGTCGTCTTAGCTCCTGCAGCGTGGCACTGTGGGAAGGGGATTTGGCGCTATCAGCAAAGCAGCCTCTCACTGCTGTCTCACAGCAAGAAGCTCCACAGCACAGCTTTAGAGGCAGATACAGTCTCCTCTGTCTACAGTACTTCTACTGTAGGGAACCACAGCTCACTGCATGGAGTGAGAGCCGGCACACACACACACACACACACACACACACAATACAAGTTGTGAATGATTTTAGGGGAATAAAAATTCTGATCAGCCATTATAATTTTATATTTATATTTTAAGTTTTAATGTTGTACTACAGTAGTTTTAGTTAAACTTGTACTTGATGGCCACTTTGACTGGAAATAAAATAAATGATAGGTGGTCTCTGACTTTTGCCCAGCACTGTAGTTAAATAGGGAGTTCGAATCCCAGCAATGGCACAACTAAAAAGTCACTAATTATCAGAGAGTTATTGGCAACATTTCTGTCAATACCGATAAAGCTGCAGGTTGTCAATATCAGCCGATATTATCAGCCACCCAAAATATTGGTTGGGCTCTAACCCACAATATATCAACTTAACCGTCCACTCTTTGTCACTGAATGCGTAAGCTATTAAACTTGCTGTTTGTGTTCACAGTAAAATCATAGAAACCTCTGTTTATTGTATGCACACGTACATTTGATAGTTCAATGTTTTCACACATTGATATAAAACACTTTATATTGATTTAAAAATTCTTCACTTTACAATGATTCTACACTGAAAAGTTACTTTTCTGTCTGTGTGTAGATGCAGATGGTAGACATAGATGAGAAGAGTGTGAGAGAGGAGGGTCTTAAAGGCACCATCACGTCATTTAACTCACTGCTCTGCTGCCAGCACTCAAACCAGGAACGCCAGGGTAAGAAGCAAAATGTGATTAATAATGAGGGGATTTATAGTATGGTGTTAGTATGGTATAGACGTTGAGTACTAGCTGCTACCTTACATTATTGCATGTAGAGCATGGGGGCAGTTGTGGGCTGGATGTTGGGGAACCAGCCTTGCGACCAGAAGGTTGCCGGTTCGATCCCCTGAGCCAACAGTACATGGCTGAGGTGCGCTTGAGCAAGGCACTTAACCCCCAACTGCTCCCTGTGCACTGTGGATAGGGCTGCCCACTGCTCCGGGCAAGTGTGCTCACTGCCCTCTAGTGTGCGTGCATTCACTAGTGTGTATGTGGTGTTTCACTGGTTAAATGTGGAGATGAAATTTCCCTGTTGTGTGACTAATAAGGGTCACTTAATCTATTCTTTTTTAACTTTCTATCCTACTGAAATTGGGATGAACAAATATTACATGTTCTGAAAAATGTTTAAGAGGCTCCTAGCATGGAAAACTGAATTTTCCTCATTTTCATGGAAGGAAAGAGTTTGATATAGTATGTAAACATTGTTAAAGTCTCAAAATGTTCCATTCACTTTCCAGTCCATGAAGACCTTATGTGGAAAATAAGCTGCAAAGAATATACAAGTTCACTGTTTCTGTGACAAAGCCAACCTATTTACATATAACCATCAATTTTAGTCTACAGAAGTTTAGCTCCGCCTATTCTTATGGAGTGTTTCATTCCAGACTGCAAAGTAACAAAAACAGCTGTAATTGTAACGCAGTGTCCTAACAGCAAGCGAGGGTCCAAATGTAGTATTGCATCGTATTGCAAAGCCATTAGGACATCTATGCATGTCGAAATGTAAGCGGACATCACAGACCTATCAGAAAACAGCTGCTTGATGAGAGAGCTCTGCGGCTTTACTTTTAAAACATAGATTTAATAGAGTGTATAACAGGTTGTTTTACCCCCACATTTAACATCATCATCATCTTTAACCACTTGACCTAGCTAGGGTCACGGTAGCAGTTGTGAGAGCAAAAAATCCCAGACGACCCTGTCCCCCCGCAACTTGCTCCAGCTCATTCCAGGGGACCGCAATCCACTCCCAGGCCAACTTGAAGATATAATCCTCCAGCGGGTCCTAGGAGACCTCAGGGTCTCGTTCCACCAGGCCGTGCCTGGTAAACCCCCACCGGGAGGCAGCCAGAGGGCATCTTAATCAGCCTCAACTGGCTCCTCTCAATGCAGAGGAGTAGCGGCTCTACCCTGAGCTCCTCCCGGATGTCCGAGCTCCTCACTTTATCAAGTAGAGTGTAGCCCACCACCCTGCGAAGAAAGCTCTTTTCTGTCGCTTGCATCCACGATCTCATTCTTTCAGTCATTACCCAAAGCTCAAGACCATAGGTGAGGGTTGGGATGTAGACCAACTGGTAAACAGAGAGCTTTGCCTTGTGGCTCAGCTCCCTCTTCACCACTGCAGTCCGGTACGTGACCGTATTACTGCTGCCGCCTGTCCCAGCCTGCGGCCAATCTCACAAGCCATCTTCCCATCACTCGTGAACAAGACCCCGAGAACTCCTCCACCTGGGGCAGGTCCTCTCCCCTTACCTGGAGTAAGTAAGTATGGAGTCCATTTAGCATCAATGGTCTAAATAACACTGTTGAAATAGCGGTATACAACCACGGCAGCTCGGTTGTATCTGCTAATGTACATCTACTGAGTCTACTTAGCTAACTAGCTAAATACTCTTATCTATCAGTGACACAAAGCAAACAATTGGCACCTCTAACTCTCACCACTCTGGCTATTTCTCTCCATATTGTTTACTAGGAAGGTCACAGAAATCTGTGTTTCTCCTCATCCATTCTGAGGTGGATGGCAGAGCAATGCAAAGCAGTGAATCAAAAATAGAACCTATGCATCTGTCAAGAACGGCGCACCGCATCGCACGCTGCTGCTCGCATATGACCAAATGTGTTTCCTCTTACGGCAAACATAGTTAATCAGTCAAAACAGGCTCGATTTCTGACGCTTGCAATAACACTTTATTTGGATGGTCCACTGTAGATTTCTTGTAAATGTTCAGTGTATATTTAAGTAACATTTAACTGAATAGTCATTAAATGCCACTGAACTTGAAGTTGACTGTTACTTAGATAGTTCACTATAGATGCTTTGTGAATGCTCAGTCTGCCTTTCAATAAGATTCAACTAAATATCCATTATATTCAACTGAACTTGAAGTTCAGTGTGAAAGAGTTTATTAAATCTATCCCTAACCCTAAACCTAACCTAACCATAACCTCAAGGCAAAACCTACATTTACTTCTAACCCTAAACCATAATGTTGTTGATAATCAACTGAAGTTTGTTAATGATTTAAGTAGCTGTAGAGCATCTATAGGGAACCATTCAAATAAAGTGTGACCAAGTTTGTTTAAAGAATTACATTAGCTCACGACTTCAGTCTGAAAGTAAAGAAGTAATCCATCCTTTAAGAGTGTGTATCCCACTACACAAGATCACCCCACATCTTATTTGGTCATTCTGACCTTTCGTAGGAGGTCATCAAAACCATCAAAAAACAAGTTCACTTCTTGGCCCAAAATTATTTGGGGAAAGATCTAGTTACATTTTTACCATTTTGGAGAGAAATATAACATTTTGTTTTTTGCTGACTAGCTAAGATTAATATTTTTAATGGAGAAGCATCACATGCTTTGTTTTGAGCTCTTACCTGCTGTGAACCGTTCAACCGAAAGCAGCATGAGTACCAACATTACAACTTTATATAGGGGGGTTGTAACATTAATTAGAAAAGCCTGTAAAATTATGCACACAGTCAATTCAATACAGTTTTATGTTGCTTGAACCAATTGAGCTTTTCAGCCTAAATACATAAAAATGTGTGCATCAGCATAAATAAACGATGCTATTTTAATAGCCACGGTAGTTCATTTCTTTTTCTCTCTTCCCCTCTTTTTCTCTCTGTTCCGCAGGCAGTGAGTGTGAGAGGTCCATATTCCAGGTTGGTCACAGTTTCCCAGAGGGGTCAAATCACAGTGCTAACAGCAGCCTTAGCATCATCACTGGAGTGGTGGAGCCCTGGAGAGAGAGCAGGTCTACAGACAGAGACCCAGGACCCAAAGACTACCAACTGTCCACTCCCCCACCCAGCCTCAACTCACTATAGCATACACGTAGGCTGAAGTAGTGTTTTGTGTTTAGATTAAATGCAGACTCAAAATAAATGAGTTTGTATTGTTTCCTTTCTTAAGTGTACTTACTTAGTTCTTGTGATTTTGATTAACCAGTTTTTAAAGTGGCTTTATTTTATATATTTGTAACTGCTGTTATGACCTGAGAACAGTAGGTGGCGATCTAAATCTTTTCATGCATGCCAGTTGTTAAATAAATAGGCCATGACGTGGTTGGCTCAGCAGTGAGAGCCCATGTATTGTGAAGGTTTACATGATTACCTGCATGCCGAGTAATACTGGCCAGATGTTACATTACAACCCATTGTCCAGTACTGTGTCCAGTGCTGCTCTTGCAGGTCTGTCCTGCTGTCTGGGGTCTGGAATCACACCCGAGAGACTCAACTCAGATTCGCATCACCGACATCAGCTCGGATTCACACCCCATAGACCTCAGACACTCGACTCAGATTCGCACCCTAAAGACTCAACTTGGAGTCTCATCCCAGAGATTTGACTCACAGTTGCACCCCAGAGTCCCCAGAGTCCCTTGTGTCCGACTTGCACTCCAGAGACTAAGCTCGGAATCGCACCTCAGAGACGGAACCACATCACAGACTCAACTCAGAATCGCACCTCAGACTCTCAACTTGGAATCCGCCTCAGACTCTCAACTCGGAATCCGCCTCAGACTCAATTTGTAATCACACCCCAGAGACTCATCTCAGAATCAAACCCTAGAGACTCGACTCAGACACACTACCCAGAGACTTTACTCAGAGTTACACCCTAGAGACTCAACTCGGAGTCACACCCAGAGACTCAACTTGGATTCGCACACCAGAAACTTGACTCTGACTGGCACTCCGTAGACTCAACTCGGAATCACACCACGTCACCGAATTTGTAATCACACTCCAGGACACGAGTCGGAATCAGACCCCAGAGACCCCAGTGGCTCAACTCAGAATCACACCTCAGAGACTCAACTCAGAGTCACACCCAGAGACTCTACTTGGACTCCCACCCCAGAGTCCCGATTAGGACTAACACACCAGAGACGTGACTACACCACAGACTCGACTCTGAATTGCTCCCCAGTGATTCGAGACTGGACTTGAAAAATCATTGACATGTGCTTTATTACCAGACTGCAGGCCTTGTTGCATGAAAGGAAGGATGTTTACTGGTTTCCTAGTTATAACACATTTTGTTTCAGCTCATCAAACGGATGAGTTGGATCAGGGAATTCACTGCACCTTATAATAACGTGGTGCTGTGCTGCCGTCTCCAGGCCCTGCTTCAGAGTGCACACAGGGCTGATATTCACAGTGTCCTGAACACGATCAGAATGTATTTCTGTTTCCTCTGTCAGTAACAGTCAGCATGGCAACACACACACACACACACACCCAAAGGCACAGCTGTGCCGTCTGCCCTGGGTCAGTTCTCACACCCAGAGTCTGTCCCCATGCCAACAAACCTCCAGTCCCATAATACACTACACACACACCCATTCCACTTTTTCCATGAGGACTTCGCCAGAGAAGAATGTGTGTGAGAGAGAGAGGTGTTTCCTCAGTGAGGAGAGATTTCCACAGCTCATGCCCAGTCCACTCCAAGCTGCTTCATGTGGATGGGAATTTTCATCTCTACCTGCAGAGTCCAGTTCCAGGAGAGACCACTCTGGCATTAACAATGACATCTTACATCAAGTGCAGGAAGCACTTTGGTACGGTGTACAATGGTCGTGACCCTGACGCACGTAAATACATACGCAGGTGCGTGACATGGGTGTAGAAACCATTATAAACTGTTGGGCAGGTTTATTAAGAGAGGCGCCAATTAGTGGTGGCCAGTTCAGCGTTAATTAGCACTTGCATAATAACATTTGAGCAAGGCAATATAAACCCGCGTTTGGCTCACATGCCATTTGTATGAAAGCGCCAGGTACGGGACAAGTTTGTATCCTTCTCTGATTCTGGTTGAAATTGTGACTCATTTAGTCCAAACAGTGACTTATTATATGACTTATAAATAATCACTTTTTTTGACCTTCTGTTTCTAAACACACATTCATTTTCAGCTCTAGAGATGAGCTGAACTTGAGTTCTGCCTTTATGTAAAATCCCTGTTTAATTTCACTACATGATTTTTAACCCCTAAGCCATAGCAGTAGCTTCAGGAATACATTGATTGAACAGCCAAGAGAGTTTCCATATGTGCTTTTATCATTTGCTTGGAATCATTTGGAAAACTATCAGATCATTAATTTGGCCAAACCTATTCTTAGGCTGGCTGTACATGGTGCAAATTTCATGCAACTGTAGTTGCTTAAGACCTAAGTGAAACTAAATTGCACTTAAGTTGCACAATATAAAGCGTCCTGCAACCCGCTTGAAACTCAACCACAACATTTGCAAGTGTCACAACTTCATGTAAGTTTCATGAAGCAGCCAATCAAAGTGCCGATAATGCATCAAGTGATTGTGTCAAACATCATTTCAAACAACTGATTTCACAGATAAATGGACAAGAAGATACACTTAAGATGGTTCATTGGGATGTTGAAATGGGCGCTTATAGCCATATAAAGTCATATAGTAAAGAACCATAGATAGATAGATAGATAGAAAATTGTATGTTGTATATGTAAATAACACACTGCAGATGACTACATAGCGAGATCGACGCAGTATATTTAACAATATATGCTAATTTGACTATCTAGTGGAATAATCATATATGTTGTGTGCAACTTTGTTGTTGAATTGCTTCATGTAACCATCAAGTAGCACAGAAATTATGTTGCATGCACCTCACATGCAACTAGCTGCATGAAAGCTTCAATGTACCCCTGGAGGAACCAGATGAGACCCCGATTTTACTTTTTCCGCTTACAAGAACATCAACACATAAGTTGTTTCTGTTTTACTCTTGTTTACTTTTTGCCCATTATGACACAAGTGGATATGCTTGGCTTGGGCTCTTTCATCAGCCTAGAGTGCAAGTGGGGTTAACTTCAGCCTCACTTATCGTCCATCCTTAGTTTCGTCGTTTATCCTCTCACCTGCTAGTCAGCGCTTGGCAGGCTCATTTCCACTATGTAATTATATACAGATATTAAAAACACTTTCCGTTTACACTCTGATTGGGGTTTTTTTTATCGTTATCCAATCACAATGCACCCTGGTGGGTTTACACCTGCCTTTTTATAATGCAATCCGCATTGATGCAAGCTGTCCTGGAAATAATAGTGCTGCAAAAGCTAACAGAACTTTTCAGAACCCTCTATCTGCTCCGTGGTAAGGGGACAACCTTGCTAGCATTATATTGTGCATTGTTTATTGTATATTATATTGTATATCTATCCAATGAAAAACATGTCTCCAAAATGCTAAGTTTACAGGAGAGGGCAAAAACGTTCCTTACTTTCAATGTAAGTTAAAGTAAGGAGATTTTATTCCCAGCAATTCTGAAGCACTTTTACTGTTCCAATCATCGTGAATTTTCCATACAATGTAAGGGACAGCAGCTCAAATTACGCAGAAAACTAAAAATCGCAAAACAAGATACTTGGGGTATTTTTTGGACAGTGACAATATAATATATAGTGCATTATACAATCCCCAGTTGCCAATTCCATCACAAGCCCTTGGTGCATAGACACTGATGACGATCTTCAGAGACATTTCTGAGATAAAGTGACTCATTCACTCTGTGCCTTGCTCTGTGCAATGCACCATATAAATGTTAGTACAAGCCTTTTGAGAGACCCAACCCAAATCCATAAATATTCAGCATTAATGCACCATAAGAGATTAGAAGCACAACGGACATCTGACTATAAAACTGTTCTCACTGATCAGGGACCGGATTGCGTTCATGTGTCATGCACAGGTGTTTCCGGCCTAAAGAAATATTTTGGTGAAAAATCAAATGTACAGAATCGGCCCCCCGACCCCAAATGAAGCTGATGGATGCACTGAAAGCAACAAGGCAAATGTAGCTAATAGATATTGAAAGATTACACTGCCATTTAGCATTGTGCAAACTGTATGCTTAGATCATCACACACTTAACGCAAACCTTGAGAAGTCTAGTGAAACACTTATCTATTAAAGCCCATTTTTTTATTTCTGGCAGCAGCATATCAAAATATTGACTTTATTTTGAATTGAAATGTACTTTTATATATATATCTACTTTACTATACATCTTGATTTCATTCACATTAATTCATGACAGACTTGGCTGAAAACTGAAAATGAAACCACAAAACGTTAAAAAATAAATGAAAATGGTTTACGTAAAATAAACGTACTAAACTTATTATGGTATGTAGGCTAGGTAACAACACAGAACTCATCCTGTGCAGTGAATTGTATTTTTTTACTGTTGTTCTGCTGCTGTTCAAGCTGTTTGAACGTCTCTTTTTGTAGGACTATGTCATCTTTGTTTTTTCAGCCGAACTTTTCAGCTGTTTTTCTCATTCTGAAAGCCATTTTTGGCCAAAAATGTTCAGTGGCTGAAATTTCGGTACATCCCTACTATAGACGGTCAACATACAGACACATTACTCGACTATAAAGTTCACTGTTTTGAGAAGGTTAATACATCATGATGAATCACTCATTTTGCTAACATTAGCTAGCAGGCTTGTTGCTAAATCATGGAGGCATCCATGCCCCCCCCCCATTCCGAGCTCCAACTTCCCATTTCTAAGTTAAGTCGAATGCAGCATAAGCTTGTTAGCATTAGCCATGTAAAACTAATAAAGTACACTTCAGACACCAAATGCAGTCAGTAAATACATCCTAAATGTTAACCACTCTTATCGCTAACCTAAGCTAGCTAGCTTGTTGCTAACTCATGGAGGTACCCATGTTTGTCCCCTCACTGTACCTCAAACGCAAAGAAATCACCTAATTCCGAACTCCCACTTCTTGTTTCCAAGTTGAGTCAAATGCAGCCTTAGCTTCCATTACTTGTTAGCATTAGCCATGTTGTCCAAGACATCAAATGTGTCTTAGCTGATCAGCTACCATTG